TAGATATATATATATATATATAAAGCCAATAAATGCCCGCCGATCTATGCTGGCGCCGTTGTTGCTGTCGGTTTCTTTTCCGACTGTCTTACTGAGTGCATGGAGGTGTAAGCCCTTCAGAATACTTGCGATAGACCAGCATCAGGTCCCTCTCTCACGCACTGCACACGGATAAAAGAGTACGAATTTGGAACAGGAAGGGATGGGATCCGTTGTCAAGCCGGTCAAAAAATGACTAGAAAAGGTCGAACAACTGAGTGATGTTGAGAGTATTGCTCTTTATCCCACCCTCACAGATTGCGTGTTCGGTGGGTTGCAACATGTCCGGATTGATCGTCATGCAGGAATGTAGGGATCAGTTGCAATAAAATGTCATCGCACAAAAGCCATTACATGTGACATCTGTTGTTGAGGCTAGACCAGGGTAAACGTCGCATTTGGAAAAGGAGTTTTTTTAACACAAGGCTCCAAACTACAGATTCGAATGACGACCACACTAGCTGTATTCAGCGCTGCGCCATTTTCTTTTAGCCCATACACTTAAGAAGTGGTTATACTGTTCTACCGAGGCTGGAGCCCTGAAGACCGATTCAGCCACCTGTCAGACGAATTAATCGTATATATCCAGACAGGCCAGGTTCGCAGTTAGCTTTGTTCTGCTACGCAGGAATGGACACTGGGTCTAGCTATGGATAACCCGTCAATAAACTAGCAATCACATACAGTACAATAGAGGTCAAAGAAGACGCCGTATTGAAGGCTCAAATATGGAGGAGCTTAATGTGGTCCGCCACTCCAAATGTCTGGTTTGGGTTATTTGTCTGTCAAATGCATTGTACTTGTGGCACCGAAACGTATTTTACTGTGTCGTATTCTGCTATGTTTACTCTCACTACGTCGTTCTTCACATCTCTTGTGTGGGTCCGAAATTAACTACCCGGATATTCCTTAGTCCTACGCCTACAGTATTACTAGAAGTGACTTTCTGTGACTACTGTCGAACGGACTAACCCGATCATTGGCTAACACTAACTAGCTAGCAATGCGTGCACCGGATGCGGCGGCATACGAGTAATGCGGGAACCCCGGGGTACATCGCGGGTTTCAAATGTTTGCTTGTCCTCACACGACCTGACAATCATGAAACGTCAACCAAGCGCGCTGTTCAGTCTGGTTCTGCCCTCACGCCCGAAGCTTGCACCGAGTAGGGGGATGTAGTTGTTTACAAATACACTCCAGCACAAACCGCATACCGGCTTACTGTGTAAAGTTGTGATAGACGATCTGAAGTGCAGAGAGTGCACTGCCAGACTATAACTGACACCCGGAAATCTAGATAATGGATGGTTAAAACTGTGGGGATAGTCGGCACTCCCGTTAACAGGGTTTGTCCTTGTAACTTCTACGGTCGGCCTGGCTAGTTTTCTGCGAAAAAGCCTATGCCGCCGAATACGAATCCACTCCATCCCAGTTGGAAATCTCGATAGACAAGTGTCCGAATCGGTGAAAATCATCCACTTCTATACGCGTCACCATTCCTAGTTCAATTCACGGGTGGGGGAATCATTAGGCAAGGACGTAGCCTGGATTCCGGCATTCAACATGCAAAGCGACCGAGTTCACCGTTTCGCAGTATAGATGCATGTTTCTAAATTCTCACGTAGCAACAAACAAACGTATTCATAATTACACAACGAGCGTTGCCAAAGGTGACGTTGTAATGGCGAATGTCATTCCAATCTGTGACTGCCAAATACGATGTTCCGATAAGGTCGGCTTAGGACAGATACATCGCCATGTTTCGGCGAACATGAATTGCAGTTTGCACCGTTTTGCAATTTTATATGGAGGTGATTTGCGGAATTTTTTATACATATTTTCTAGCCAAATTATTACACGGATATACCGAATTTCTGTTCAGATGATACTGTATTTTTATAGGACAGCGGTCAGAAGCTGCACGGAAAGCATGACAAGCTGTGCTCATGTTTCGGCTCACCAAGTAGGGGGCAGTTCGTTGCAGTCAGGTCACGTTATCGATCCTACTGTCCAGAGCATTAAGAGCCCAGAGGTCAACCTATGTGGGTAAAGTGGGCCATCGGGTGCAACAGACTTGCCGTATGCGGGCCATCAGCACAAATATTATTAGCTGAAGTAGTAAGGAGAAAAATACACGTGCTTTTAGCACCTTAGTGGATAAAACTCTGAAAACGAGTTTGTTTACATCGAGTAGATAACATGTAATCGAATTTCAAAACAGAAGACAACGTCACGTCTCGCAACCCAGGTGAAAAAACGCAGTTACTACAGGAATTAATCCGACCTGACCTCTCTGAAGAGGAACTATGAGCCCGGAGATTCAACAACAGCGTTCCTTCGACTGGGGTTTTATGTGAAGCCCCAGCCCCCACCCTCCGATCACCGTACTTCCACATGATAGTGTACAGGTTGCTGTAAAAAACCGAACATTTACGAAGCTGGTCTGCGTTTGTGTATGAATGAGGCTTATATACTAGGTCTTTTAGCTTTTGTGACCTACTCAAAATGTATCTTGCATAAGAAAATAGGATGCTAGCCTTATCGGACTAATGACTACTCAAGTGATTTTCCAAGATTATAAAAAGTGGACTCATCCCCAGGGTATCGGTAGAAACGTTGAAGAGTTCTGTTGTGGCAATCTGATAATGATCAACCAAACTGGTCAGATAGAGAGCGCTTCGTTTGCTAAAAGCTAAGACTTACAGAAGAAAACATGTTAGAGGCTGTGGTAACGATTTTAAGAGCTAGAATATAACCAGGTTAGAGGGCCCATCTAACATTCTGCATAGGGCTACCCTTCCAGCAGTTGTTTAATCAGTAGTGAAAGTTGGTGAATTCTGAAGTATCGTTATTCTCCATTTTCAAATTTACCAAGACCACAAGCAGCACAAAGCTTAGTGAACAGATAAATTGGTGTTCAAAGACGCAATTGCAACAAAAAACCGAATACCGTATCAAGTTCAGAGATCAACAGGAATTCCCAATTACTTCCCAATCCCAGTTTTACGAGAAAAGGTTAAGAGACAAACAGTACTCATGCAGTACCGTGGGGAGAAAAAATCACAGGCCCTATTCCAGATACACAGGAATATACCTCATTGTGTGACTAAACCTAAATCAGACCCGTTCTAAGACGTAAAAATAACGGTCTTTATCAAAAGTCAAACACTTACTGATTTCACCCAAGTTGAGCCACAAAGAGGTCATTTTATGCAGCAGATTTCATTGCTTGTACCGCAAACTCTTAATGTTGTGTTAATTGTGGAAGTTTTTTTCTAACAAACTGTAAAGCCTGTCCGTTTGACCTGCGTGCCCTAATCGTACAGGCTGACTGAATGTGGAAGAAAAGCAATCGCTGGTTCCGTTTCTTTCGCACTAATAGCGGAATGTTGCATCGTTATTTTTCTATGAATAGTAAGTGGGTAACAGATACGTGATCAATCGAGGAATGTCAGAATTAGGAGAGCAGATTTGTGCTGGGATAAAATCTCAAAATATGAAACCTATGGTATGTTGGTTGGCTAAAATAAGTTTCAAAAACAGCTGTAGGAAGTGGTCCGGAAGGCCGCTCGGCAGAGCAACACTGTGGACGTACGATTCAGCAGTGGTATCCTGCTGGCGCAAGGACGTTGTACAGTCCGTAAAGCTGAAATAGATAATTCCAGGTCGCTTTAGCCTACAAGAGAGTTATTGAAAACCCAGAGGTAGGTCGGACAATGCACCTCCAATAAATTGGTTAGAGACTTAGCCACCCAGTTGGCTAAAATGTTGTCGAATTTTATGCGGTTCAGCAACTGATGGCAATGAGCCCCCGACCTGTCATTGATAAATGTCACAAGTATGCTCAGAAATGTAATCTGACGATTTATCACCGGAGAAGCCAGTGTTCATTGGCGGATTATATTGTGCACTGCTGAGAACAAGGGGAAGATGCGTTGCACAGTATTCGGGCCCTCTCTGATTCTCAGCTTACATTTATATCAACAGACATGGGGCACAAACACTAGCCAAGACCGTCAAATTTTGAGGACAGAGGATACATCACAAGACCAGTGACTACATAGACTAGCTTGTGATTTGATTATACGTCACAAAGGGCCGAACCTCGAGAATGAAATGGGCTCCAAAAACAGTGACCTTCAGCAGTTCCTCCAAAATTATTCCGTAAAGTTACAAAAGAGGGGGAGGAGAGACCGACAATTTCTACATTACCTATGATCATGAACTCCAGAGCAAATTCCAAGATTTTAGGAATATCTTCATGTGATACGAGCCGTCGTCGTAATTAACTGGATCAAGAACTGACTTCAGGAAACGTTCAGATCGAAGGGTCAAAATCTCACTAATATATTCATGAACTGGAATGACTCTTGCTTGCTTTTCACAGATTTGTTTTTCCTCCAATTTTCGAATAGAATAACTCTTGGGGTTCCTGCTCTGTTCTGGTGTCTTTTGTGAAAACAGAAATACGATACTTCTTTCTGAGGACTAACTGAATGGCCATTGCATCAAGTGGGTCACTTTTGAGGAAATCTATCACGTCTATAGCGCTTCAGAGTATTTCCTCCTCAGTTGCATCTGTTATAGACATGATTCTCTCCAAATGGGCAATGAATACGGGAGACTATGTAGGGCTAATTTTTCAAGATATTTCATCAAGCAAAGCGGAAACTGCGATTTTTTTCGTGGTCCATTTGATTTGTCGACTTCGGGTTCCCCCATGAAGCAAGAACATCACCTACGGTGTGATGCTAAGTCTCGAATGATGATTCGAGGTCAACAGTGACACGAATGCGTTGGATGTAGTCCGGAACCTTCGGGACCTCAGTATTTGTTCACGTCTGGGTTACCAGAATGATCCAGTTGTATTCGACTTATGGACGGAGCTTACTCGATAACTACTCAGCAATTGAAGTTATGAGTTTGTGCCGCAGCACGCTCAAACAGGATGCACCTACAAAAAACTTCTATAGGAATGACCAATATTTGGTTTGTATCTTGCAGCTTCGAATGACAACTAGAAACAGAAAAACGGATGATACGTCTACCGGCACGAAAGACTGATGCGCTTACACTTATTAAAAATATGTATCATTTCACAGTTAGTTGGTACAGCGTTTCTTCAACGTTGTAACTGTCGTTTCACTATGTCCCCATTGTTTCCTGAGAAATGGACTACTGCATCGAAGAGGCTGAATCTCATCGTATTGTGACGGCTCACGGGTCTCAGCAATCCGCCAAACGATACTGTGGTCTACCAAGGTGATTCCTGGATAGAGGTATGATAATTCCGGTCTCCTGGAACTCGAGGTCATGGGGTGTGAGGTGCCTAACAGGCTAACTACTCTAGGAGTCTAACACTAATCAACGCAGCCTCGCTGGCAGAACTCTGAAGACATGATGACCTTTAAAGCTTAAACAGATTGGCCAACAAACCGCTGGTGTGCACACTCTAGATATCTTACCAATAGACATCTGCTGCACTTGTGAAACTCGAATATGGGATCCGAATTTAGAAAACGAGTTCCTGGCGCCTACCCATCCTAGACGCTATCGACTACGAACCTCAAGTGACTCCAGAGATGCTGCTGTGGCCTGAAGTGAAGTTAGCATGCTACACAGCTCTTCACCCGAGACTTTTTCACTGGATTAAACTGGCGACTCCACATCTTGCGATCTCCATAAGAACTGACACTAGTCAGATTACCAAGTATTCTCTATTTACAGCGTCTATTGATTCAAAAACCTACTGCAGTTTCGACTAAGCGAAATACACTTCTTACCAAGAACTCACCACCCACTTGCCTGATTGCCGCTCTAGCTGGAGAGTGTACCTCACAAGTAGATTGCCTCAGTTTGCACCTTGGTGATATATATATTTCGAAGGCAAAGGGTTGTTATAACTGTGGTCGTATTTTGGAGCGTTGTACCGACAACCAATTGTTCCTCAGGAATACTGAGTTTAGATGCAACGAGTAGTGGTGTGCTGCCTGGCGGTAGCAGACTGCTGAATATCGATGCTGACAGAACTACCGATGATGAAGCTCAGTTCTCATCGTCATCAGCTGTAAAAATCACGTACTTGTCGTACAGTAGTTCTAGCTTCCACAGTTTCGTTCATCAATGATTTAGGCAGGTGGAGTAGATAGCTGCGCATTGGTGGAGGTAGCTGATATAACTGATGCGTTAATGCAGGGACTTCTAATTGGGGAGATCGGAAGGGAGCTATGCGTTGAAGGCAACAGCTTGGGTGGATGAGCGCCATTGAGGGCGCGGCTGGACCATGTCTGACCATTGATGTGTTCCGTCTTGGGGTCCCCATCCAGGGAGACAACAATAACCACCGCATCCGAGTTTGCTGGTAATGGCTTTCAAATTTCGTTGCCAAGTCATTGCTGGACTTCCTTGGTTCGTTTTCACTTTTCACGCGGTTGTGCGAAAAGGGCTCTTGGAGGAATGCGGTCAAATGGCATACGGAGCACGTGGCTAAGCCAGCGCAACCTATGGAGTGTGATCAGTTCATCCGTCGTGAGCGAGTTTTCTCTCCATTCCAGAATACACAAATTCAAACCACGCTTTGCTCTTCCATGGCTTTTCGGAAAATTTGGCCGTTAAATCCAAGAAGCAAGATTCTTACTGAATATTAGAAAGGCTTTGTAAGCCACAGGTTAAAGAACATGCAAAACCTCACTATATGATGTTCAATGGACAGCCTCAAAGGAAGGCATTGACCGTAGCTGGTATGGGATAAACACAGCGTGACGCAACGCCGGAAACTCCATTTCCAAGCGGAATGGCCAGAATGGTCATGGGTACACGATTCAGCTAGACGTAGGAGAGATAGAGGCACTGTGGAACGACAAAATTCAAGAAATAGGGGAGGCTAGTCTTAAAACCGCCACAGCAGGCCTATCAGCTATCCTTATACGGTGACACCTAACTCCGGTACAAATCCGAGAGCATCAACAAGAATTTCGACCCAAACGGGCTATAGTGAGAGCAACATTACGCTGGATGTTTGGGCAACACAGTTTAACACAATGCAGACTGCCGGTAAACAAGACTTGTTTTATGCTATTTCGAAAAAGCATCGTAGACACAACATACCCAAACAAAGGAAGCTTAGACAAACACTGCATGTCCTGCATTCCACCACTTCTGTCGTGCGAGAGTTTAGAACGAACCGTCCAAGTTTTTTCCCAAAGCTAGTGGAGCTCACCAAGACTTTGATATCTCCGCTTTCGATCAATTCCGGAATCAATCATGACATAAACACTTCAAGCAATATAAAATCTAGAAATCGGAATGTTGTTCAACCATCAGCGTTCCGGACAATCTACATTAAGAAAGCCAGTGGTCACTAATTTAAGTACGTGTTTCAAAGTTTTACCTTAAAATGCTCACTGGTCGGGTATCCCCTTGGAACTCTATGGGATCGGTCTGCGTAAAATCGCACCTGTATAGGCCGTGATTGAGACAATCGTAACAGCAGCCTTAGTTTACGGTTGCCAAACCTGGCCCCTGCGATCCAAAGATCACATGCACATCTAAGCATTTCATCACCAATAATTTGTAGAACAGCACGTGTTAGCTGGCTACGCCATGTATGCAACGTAGGGCTGCGTGAGCAAGCACTTGCTGACGAATCACAATCACCGGACCAACAAAATTACTACGATATGATACCTTGGAAGTGTGCTAGGAAAACCCAAACACGGTATACCAAAGAGAGTGATGTATTCTATTCCGAACCGCTGCTGCTGAAAGGTTCGCGGAGAACAAACAACAGCGTGGCATCGAGAACAGAAATAGGTCAGAGTGGAAGTGGGGGGTATGGGGTCTTCGGGCCTTCCAATCGTGGTCCGAATACTCCTCCTTTTACCTGAGTATCAATCCTATGAGAATTTTGAAACAACATTGCTGATGATGGTAATGGCACAGGTAGGGCATTCGCGGCGGACAACTATCCCTTCCCAAAAACAGTTTGGTATCGCTAACTTCCTTGCTCATCACTTTGAAAGATATTGCTGGCAGCAGCAAACAGTCCAGTTTCGGCGTTGGAGCTTTACAGTGGGTCTGCGACCGGAAGTCTGCTTAAGGGAATGAGAGCAACCGAAACTGCGTAACAGACAGACCTTTCATTATGCCCAGCTGGAAGCGCTAGTAGCATATGCATAGTTTGCATTGACGACCACATTCAAGGTTAATTTCCGAATTGTGTCTTTCGTCTTATCAGTACACGTACGAAAAAATAAATCAACTGAATCACAATAGTCCGAATATTTCAATTTTATGCCGCAAGAAAAACGTATAGATTGACATTTTTTCCCGAAAAAACCCATCACGTATTTACAAATTCAAAGGTTATATCGAAATGAATAGAAAACAGACAGTTGACCTTAGTGGTAGTCGATCATACAACAGCTGGGTTCAGATCACCAAAAGGATGACTAGGGACATTGCTGCCAGGGTCCATCGTGGACGTGTTTATCGGCATGTGCAGTGGTACGCAAATGTGGTTCGAGGACCAGTATAGACCATTGTAGGTCTAGCGTGCGTAGAAAAAAACGGTATTGCCGAAAAAACAGGGTCACGCAACCTAATGGCAGTCGGTTCAGCCACTGCGATGGTCCGATGTGGATTAGTGAGGGTTAGTCAGATGGTTTTTTGCAGATCACGTGAAAACCTTGCCCCGTATTCACCATTTGGTTGGTGTCGGCCAGATGCTGTAATACGAAAATGCTAGTTACTGCCCTCGTTCCGGATTCAACCAATGCGCTGGCCGAGTTGTCCAGTCCTGTGTTTAACCGTCAGCAGCACAGCAGCAAGAAAAAAGTACAGTGTGGATTATTTTGGGTGCGAACGCACACTGCCTTGAAACCAGAGCACATCACACACTGTGTCGAGGACCAGAACCGAAATGTAACCACAGCATTTGTTCTGCTCACAGTCTTATGGAAACGGCATTTCAGAACGTCAGCAAGCAAATAATCTTTAAGAGCGATATCTATATGGAACGATTGTATAGTTTGGAGACTGGTCACTCGAGGCGAGATGACTCAGTGGTTGAAGTTGGAATTTACTGACCGGAAGGTCCGTGGTTCGAACCCGACCTCTGTCTCTCGACTTCCCCTGTCTAGGCTTGAGCAACCTGACAGCATCCCAATTCTTGTGCTTACTTCGGGTGGCATGGCAGCTAGGCACCGAAAGGATGTCACAGCTGAACTTTTTTTACAACGCCAATATGCGCGCACTGCTGCTACACTATTGAGAAACTTGACCTATCGGTGTGGAGTGTTCGATGGTCGTTGGTTGCGTCACCGCCAATGTTTGGTGGCACAATTGAAAAACTACACTGAAGAGCACTCGGCTCACTCAAAACCTGCGTTTCAGTGTTTAATAAGATACGATTTACGTATACCAGCGCAACCTAAGTCTTTTTAGAGACGTTTTGCGCACGCTTCACTCAAATGCAAGAAATCAAGGGGGTCGACGACTAAGAACATCGTGGAAAAGCATGAGAAATATAATAGCAGGTTCAGTGACAGTGGGTCATCCTTGGTTCCCGAGCTAAGACTCGAAAAATAAGGAGGCCATAAACAAAAAAAGAAGGGGCGCGCCTCCACCATTGTGTTACACATCCATACATTTCATACTGAGAAAACTACAAGTTATACATAGACGTGCAGCAAGGCCACTGGGATAAAAGAATCCATTTGTGCACCCCTTGTTCATCCCACCTTTTCATATCTTTCGTCCGAGCTTTTAGTACCCAGTCTGTCCAGGTATTGGTGGACTAACTATATTACTTTTATCAACTTCACGTCATTTGGGCAATACGCCAAGAAGTCTTTTCGATTGAATTGGATCACCTGAACCTCACTTCTGAAGGGCAGGGATATAGCATTTTTTATGACACTGCTTAACTGACAGCAACATAACTGGACCATCTTTGAGAGAATCAACTCACTAATAATTTTAATTCTTCTTAGCGCTGACTAAGCAGCCAGACCAACTAACATTGACCCCACATCTCATGGTTTGATGTAATAAACATAAGCCATAGAACCAATCATTAGTACGCGGAGTAAAACTGTCAAACCCAGCATTTAGTACCAGGAATGCATACCGCTGGTAAGCAACCGGGCTAGTCTTGGAGAATAGCATTTGCCGCATAAAAGGCAGGATTCCATGACTATGATCTTGAGCCATGTACAGAAATAGGGGCCATAACAAAACTCCAGCGATGAAGTAACCACTGCTTCGGAACAGAGCAAGAGCTTAAATAATGGCCATCGTTAGTAACAGTACAAAGTGGTCTGTGTATCATGCATTACGTTATGAGATGGGGAACCAGTTTACAACCCCTACAAGTAGCCTGAACGCTGACGCAGCCAGGTTGTGTTCTCCCAGAGGAAACTGCATTTGAAAACAGTATTTGAAGGAAACTCCAAGCTGATGGAGCAAAAACACGGCTTCGGATAGAGTTTTCCGACAAAAAAATTAAGTAGCATTTTAAAATAAGTATAAAAAAGGAGAGCTTTCAATCGAAAAGTTGAAATTTTGGTGGATAAATCACCTACAGTCCTCTGGTGTACATCTCTAGTCAGTAGCCTTGCTCCGAAACTTCCAGATAGTTTACACACTTAACACATGATGCTTATCAAACGGATGTTTTTATGTGACATACCCGTGGCACGTTTCGTAAATCTACATTTAGACGCTGTGCAGAGCCGTACGTGTCTGGCTAAAATGCAGCCTAAGATACCATCAATCTGACATGGTAAGTCAGTGGCAAGTACTAGACAAGTTAGCAACAGCACAATCATACCTTGCGTGGAGTAACTCTGGGCAGGAAAACAACGCCTCACTATTTATTACATATTGACAAAAGCTATACACACGCACGTTTTAACTCCTCACATCCGCCGGTCAGTGGCATTTGTGTAATTAGGTTCATCACTACTAAAGTAACCGAGTTTAGTCCCCAAAACTGGTAACAGAAGCGAAAATTTATGAAATTCAAACCCGATTCATGCAACTCGTCTGTTTTAAGAAACTTCTATAACCGTTATTTGACGATCAGCACTAAGTGGATCTAAAAACATGTACCTTATAGTGCACCACAAGCCCCTACTCGCTGATGGCGTTCGATCTCGATTATGGACTGGAAATAAGAAAAGGAAGTCCAACACGGTCACTCACTTTCCCGCATGCACTGTCAGCATGTCTGGGAAGACTGGTTCGAAGAGCACAACAACTGTGACATGACTGACGATAGTTTCCTTCGAACGCCCTCTCGATCGCTCTTCCGTTATAGGCTCTTCTATGAGTATTGATAGGACCTGATAGGATACAGTTCGAGGTTTTTCTTCACCAGGAAGATTTTGTTGCTTGAGGCTATGAAAAGAATGGCGGGAATAAAAATTGTCAAAAAATGAAAGAAAATATGGGTCACCGGTTAATCTATCCAAGCATTTTATTTATACGGTAGATTATTAATCGACGGACAGCTGACTGTATAAATTCGGAGATCATAATCACGTCCTGCAACCAAACTGAACATCGGAAAAGAAACTTGCGCCAAATCTCGCCAATTGCTCCGCATTAGGTTATTGATTTTCCTACTGGATTTGAGGACGTCCTCAGTACAGACGAACCGTCTCAGAATGAAATTAACTCACTTGCCTTAAAAAGATTCGTACAGGTGCTCAAAATAAACTACCACTGGAACTCAACAAGAAAACATGTATTGATCTAATTCCATGAATGCACGTGATCCGTTGACACGGAAGGCGGGATTTCACTTTAAGACCAGGAAACACACTTTACACCAATGGGAGACACTGAGCAACAATTCGAAACCTCATATCTCGGAAAATGATTAAGGTTGTTAACATCAGATGGAACGCCATTTTATTCCCATTGGAAAAAGAAACCACCAGTTCCTTTCAGTTCTGAGGTGGGTGTGGAAAACACTCATTACCTAGAACCATTACCTCATTACCTAGAACCTAGATTTGAAATGAAAAACACCAATTTTCCTTTCGAAACAGATATGTGTTATCCCCCGCCCTAACCAGCTATACATTCCAGCTTGAGCCATGTCCCATTTGTGTTTCACATAGGTCGTATGATACAAAATTCAGCATCAACGCACTACTCGAAAGTGACAATAACTCAAATGATAATAGACAAAAGCCGATCAAGCTGAAGCTTGAAGGGAGCGAAGTTCCTCTTCATCAGTATGTACTCAATTTCCCATGTGATTGTGACCTTCACCAAAATAGGTTTGGCGGGAAAACAAGAATTAGCTTTTCTTTCGGCATTTGCTGTTGCACCGTTCTTGGTATTGGTAGCAGGCCAGGCTAACCGAAGAGTTTTTCTGTAACCGAAAGATCTAAACTGTAGGGATTGTTCCAGCCATCAGAATTAATAATACTCAAAATATGTGGGCTATGTGATACCGAAGCCTTGAAGCCTATTCATAGTTTGCGGTGACCTAGAGCTATATTCCTAAAAAAAGCCATGATATTCCTGGTTGGTCCGAAAGAGCATAATGTACATGATGTGAGCATGATGCAGAGGCGATCAAACAATGACTTGGCAGCGAAGTGTGAAAGCCATTACCAGCAAACTCAGCTGCGCTGGACACTCCCGTCTTCTTGGATGGGAACCCCGAAACGGGCCATATCAGTGGTCAGAGACATTGTCAGGCATGGCCCAGTCGCGCCCCCAATGGCACTCATGCATCCAAGCTATTGCCTTCAATGCATAGCTCCCTTCCCAATCCCCCACTTAACAGTCCACTGACAGTGCTGTATTTACGCACAATTTATCAGCTCCACCTCCAATGTGCAGCTACCTATCCCAGCTCCCCGAAACTGTCGTTTGGGTCACTTATTAGCTGATATAAGACCTTTATCAGCTCCCCGGAACTGTCCTTTGGGTCACTTATTAGCTGATATAAGACCGAGAACCACGACGACGCGGTAATTTTGTCCTGATCACCTTTTACTCACCCTCGAAAGTATTGGGAAGCTGACATTCGGTGTGTTGATGCCGTTTTCCTATTTTTAGTTACGTGTTCTAAGACAAGAATGACAGGCGTTACGTTTGAAATACCGAACGGAACGTAACATCATTGTAATTACAGCCCATTTGATGTATCCAGGTGGCTCATATGCGCCAATAGTTTTTTTCCGACTGGTGAGTGTAGGATGAATGGCATGCTTATACAAAGTATAGAGACATATCAGGGTCAACCACAAAACACTGTCAGTATAAACATTCAGATATTCCAAATGACTGGGGCGAAATTGCTCAGTGGTTAGAGCGCGAATTTATAGACAGGAAGGTCCGTGGTCCGAACCCGGCCTCTGCATCTCGACTTTCCCTGTCTAGGCTTGGGGGACCTGGCAGTATCCCAGCCCTCGTGAATCCCTCGGGGAGCATGGCAGCCAGACACCGTCACGAAGAGATTGGATCTTACGGTGGTGTGACGGTTTGTGTACCTCAGCGACCCATTAGGCTATACTGGGGGGGTGCCCGCGAGGAACTCACAGTCTCTCATTTCAGGTAGGTCAATTGTTAGAGGTCTGATGAACACAGTATCTTAGTCCCCCAGGTTGGGGGTTGTAAAATGTATGTCGATGTGTTCCGTGAAAATGGTAATGTACTTGCATTTCCAGCCAAACACCGCTGCTTTGCGGACAGGCTTTTGAGTCAAAGGCTTAAGTTGAGGACCCTAATCGTTCTCCTGTGGCACAGCGCTCCCGGCCCAAGCACTGGATATCGAACCAAACAGTGGCACAATAATAGATAGTAATCTTTTAGCTGTAGCACCCTTCCAGTTCCTAGGTGCAATGCAACCTGAAGGAAGCACGAGGGCTAAGATACCATCATGTTGCTTAACCCTAGACAGCGGAAGTCGAGATGCAGAGGTCGGGTTCGAACCATGCACCTTCCGGTCAGTAAATTCGCGCTCTAACCAGTTAAGCAGTGGTGCTGCTTAAATTTCGGAGAAATGTTCCATCCGGTTACGAAGATAATTTGGCCGACGAATTATCAGAAGTCAAGTGAAAGTGAGCGTGCGAGCCGAACATGAATCTCGTGGATACAGAAAGCTAAGGAAATGGAAGAGGTCCAAGAAACCGGTAATGTCCGGAAATTATTTCGGCTGATCCGCACGACCAGTCCACGGAAAGCCTCTGTGAGCGAAGCCATCAAAGATCAAAATGGAATGAACATCCCGAATAAATAAGAACGCCTCGACCGGTGGGCCGAATACTTCGAACAGTTGCTACCTTGGCCACTTTGAAAATGGGGTCCGTGGTGAGTGTGATAACCATGGGGGGGTCAACCTAACCCCGGTTGGAACGAGACTATTGGCGTCTCTTGTGCTTCGTTGCCTTACGGTGACTCGTGAAACAATGAATCGAGAACAGCAAGCGGGGTTCTGGCCTGATAGGGGTTGCGTTGAGAAAATCGTTATGCTACTTCAGGCGCTAGAACAACGCCATACGTACAAACGACCCACAATTTTAGCATCCCCGGATTTCCAAGGCGCATCCGACTCGGTTGACCGGTCTGTTCTCCTTAACACGTTTGTCCATCAAGGAATTTCCCAGAGTTTTATGAACACTTGTATTATCATACTTCCGAACGTGTGAAAGTATACGGAGAGTCCTCCCTAAGCTTCCGGACACAAAGCGATGTCCGTCAAGGGTGCCCACTCTTTTTGGCTTCGCGGTCGATGAAATCATAAGACGAACGCTGAAAGGTCTTCAAAACCCCGGCGTTCAAATAGCCTGTGACGAAAACCTTGCCGATCTGGAATACGCAGACGACATTGTTCTCGTTTTCGAACAGGAGGAGAAGGTGTAGGTATTTTTGTATGAACTGACAAAATCATCCCATCCTTTGGTATGCACTTTGCGCCCGTAAAGTGTAAGGCCATGCTCGTGCACATGTCACTTACAATCCAGGGAGGGGCACTCGAAGTTGTGGAGCGTTTCACGTACCTTGGAGGTTGTACTGGTTCTGATTGTAGTGTGACAGATGAGGTGAATGCACGAATCTGCAAGGCCCGGATCGCGTTTGCGAATTTGGGAAGCCTATGCCGTCAAAGTGGTGTACCCCTGAATCTCAAGAAACGTATCAAGCTACAGTGCGGGCTGTTTTGTTGTATGGCTGAGAATTGGCCTGTTCGAGCAGCGGACCTGAGACGTCTTCAGGTGTTCGGCAATTGCTGTCTCGGAACCATAGTTGGTGTGGGTCGGTGTCGGAGAATCACTAACGAGACAATTAGAAATCGAGTTTTCGGTTGTGCAACGGGAACGTCTACTGAAGAATGTGTCTAGCACCAGAAGCTGCGTTGGTTAGGCCATATTTTCCGTGTGCAAACCATCGTTTGTAGAACAGAGAGGTGTTTCCGTGCCCAATTCACAGGTGCGGAAGCAGAGAGGTGGCCAACCCTTGACCTGACAGAGAGATATGAAGGAGATTACAAAACGTTTGGGTGCTGTCGATTGCCAGGATGGGGACGGCTTGATCTCCACTGTGCCTGGTTGGAGGCACTACAAGATATGGCTGCCAACCGATGTCAGTGACGTTCTTGTTGTCAGTTTCTATCCAGATTGCCTGAGTGAATGTCTGGAGGTGTGGGCACCTCGGAATGATTGTGGTAAACTAGCACTTCCTTCCTTCCTCATCCACCTTTACTCTGTTCTTCACAATAAGGCTTTCAAATAAATCATGGTTGTACGGCAGCGAAGCATCGGTGTTGAACACTGATGCCGTGCTGTCCATGATGATGATGATCTCTTAATGACTGATTTGATTCCCAAGAAGGGATAGACCACGTGCAATAAGAGTCTGATTTGTGATCCCGCTAAACTAATCGCATGACTGTGCAAGCCATATCTACAAAAGCCCCAAGCACATCAGGTTGACAGAACTGATGACCGGACGAGGGGCTCTGAAAAGCTGTGACAATTCTTATTAACCGTAGCAACTCTACCCTACGTCACTTGTACTCGCCGAACGGACGAATGTGCAACTAACATAAGTGTTTTGTCGTACAGCTGAATTTGACCTTGACACTTAATGTCAGTTTGCTCGAAGACCGGGATTTCCAGATACCAGGACCTCATCAGTTTATAAGTACCTCTGTTATCCAACTGCCCTATCGGTAAGTTCTGTCAACCTGGCTTCACTAGGATGAGCACTCTGCTTTCTGTGAAAAAGTTAGTTCGATGTAATACAACGGGACTAGCTGTCACACTTTTGTCGTGAATAGCTGTACTCAGTTGTTATCAGGCTTCTTTGATAACTTCAGTTTCCAACGAAAAACGTAAGGATTTCGGCTCTTGCTGTGCCATCCGTACCTTAAGTTAGTG